GTTTTGATTAGATAGATCAAGTAATGTCTCAACCAAGCCAGGTATCATCAAATGTTTTACAATATGTGGTAAGTGAAACTGATTTATTTTGTATCGGTGTAACACTTGTTGGACTAGTATCGTTACTATGTCCTGTCGTAGAACACCAGGTTGTCTAGTTCAACTGACTTCTTAATGCGATAAAAGAGTGGCATGGTGTTTTTTTTGTCAAATACTATTTTTAACAGTTGACCAGTTACAATTAGGACAGACTCGATAATACCATGAAGTAAAGAAATATCGCTCTTGCCTAAAAGCTGTGGCAGACTAAAAATATAATTACCAAATGTAGTAAAAAACGTATTAAATAATATTGTATAAAATTAGATAATGATACACAAACTAGAACTGCACAAATAAAATTTGGACGTTTCTTGTTAAGTGCTGGATATGGAGTGTTGGATTGGTCATTAAATCTACAATTATAACGTATAATCAATAATTCCTAAGTATAGCATATGATCTAAACATACTATATATAATCCAGTTATGAGAAAAATATGATCTGTGAGCGCATACAACAGTTGCATTAATGATCTGTCAATGTGGCAGCCGACCAAATAAGAAAACAACAGTGGTAAATTATGGTATGATACTGAGAACAACAATCAGTATACCAAAAAACGGAGTGTGAGTACCCGAAGGGTCCAGGGTCATATGTAAACAACCTTTTTTATAGTCTGTAACTATGATTGTTTAAATTAAATGGAATTATGAAACGTGTGAATAATAAGGAAACTTATTTAAAAAATACGTCTATTGTGAATTCCAATAGAATTTATACAATTTGGAATCTGTGAATGTTTCAGAGTATAAGAGCGAATATGAAGACGCATCTTGAATTTTCACAATGTATTTGATTGATAAACAGTCAACAAAATACTGATTTCAATTATTTAGCAACAAATAACGCATAGTGCTCGTAAGATATATAATGTGAACAAGAAAGAACAGTTGTTTATTTTACATGGACTGCAATAAAGTAACAAAAACGTTATTCAACCAGTTAGTAGTGCACTCAAGTAATCAGTCAAATTTACACTGTATCAAATAGTGTACTATCGACGTGTGGAAAAATGTACGCGTTTCACTGTTTATGAAATTCATAATGAAAAGCCTGCGATCAAACATCTCATTGTAATGTAGTTTGAGAACTTCCTCTCCAACTGTCCTGTGATTTGGAGATGATGACGACATAAACACGAACCAGACATATGGTTTCATTACATCTTACAGCCATATTCACAATTCCCGTACATCAGTCTAAGATAATTAGCCTTTTAAAAAATGATGTTAAATATCATTTTGAAAACACTTTCTCAACCAATAACATACTTGACTCATTCAAGGAACATTGGTATTGAACAGGGAAACAAGTTACTTTTGTACAGCAAAACACTACAAGATCTACCATCGAGGTCAGAATCAGTAAGTTGGGTCATGATAAATAGTGTTTACCTAATCATTGTAAACAATAAATGTGTATGCACATAGACCACGTGTCATCTTAATCTGTATTTATTGCTGAAAATTATCGTTCACATTGTGTTGAAGAATGAAGATCGGAATCGTTCGAGGAATATTATCTAAATCACAATTCACTAACAAGGACATGTAATCCCAATAAACGAGACAGGGACACAGGAATTTGTGAATTCCCACGTGTCTGGAACCTCTCCAGTTGTTTCATAAAATGAATATACAACAGTTCATGTCACACAACTCTCCAATCAAACATGTCCACACATTATTGATCGGATTAATCTCAACTCGAAAATCAATAATCTATGTTTGATTAGCCATCAACAAGTGACCTAATGTTAAGTAAATTCATATCTGAGCGTTGCGTATGATCATTCATTTTCTTTGGTACATTGAATGAATTATCTGACTTTTAAAGATTTCAGTATTGTTTCATGAGAAAAAAAGCAAAATAAAAATCACCCGAATATATGTATATTTTCGTGCTAGTCCTACTAATTAGTGTCTTACTATTAAACAAGGTGTTTTCACACCGAATAATCAATACGATGTGATTTCAAGGTCAGAAGTACGACTTAATAGTCTGATTTAAATGTGCCAATCGTGGTGGTGAGGGGGGGCGAACAATCGTTGTTCGTGACAGGATACGTGTCAATGAAATTGAAACCTAATTGACAGTTGAGAGAAATGTCGTCCGAGTTCCACCAAGATACATATTATTTTTTCAGCCTAAACTGATCACTGCAACGATCTGCTACCATCTACTCGAACATTGCTTCTCAATGCACTAAATTTTGATTAATGTATATATTTCGTCTCACATAGTATGTGTAATCAAAACGCGCTTACTCGAACGATACTAAATGGTAGGTTATTTGACTATCGAAGTTAAATGACTCGAACGTCAATAGGAAAACATGGGATCACTCGTTAAAAGTTATGACTCGAAGTTGAGGAGATGAACAGTTCTGATAAGAACGAATCAATTCAGTGAAAATGACTACTTTCACTTCTTGCATAAAACATCAAAGAAGTATAGCATGGAGCTGTGTAACGAATGCGGTTTGGATTAATGTCGATGACTTGATGGAATTAGAATCCACTTTGTTCTTCATATCACCCATGCCCATAGCTTTTCACATTGTCTTAACTATCTAGTATGAGAAGCACAATTAAATAGGATAATAAACACAAGCAGAAGAGCTAATTTGCTAGCCATATAATATATTGGAAACTATTATACATGCGTATGTACATTTGAAGCAACTGACACCGAAATAGTAATGAACGTTAGAAAAACTAAAAATTACTGACTACAATAATTCACAAAAGAACAATAAAACCCCTCTGAATAACGGAGGTGTCAAACATGATTTGGTTCACAAATGAGAAACTCATGAGATGTAATTGATTGAAATTAAAATACACGGACTTCTTGATTTTGTCTGTTCTCATTAGTGATAATTTCGTGACGGCCATATCAAATTGCTATCAATCAACTTTTATTTTGGTGACCCAACGCAATCAATAATGGCCACATCAAATGGAAACAGATTAGTGACTGTTGTTTGTTCACTGAACTCTTATTTGACTAGTTGACTATGATCTATCTTTTCAATATGTGTGAAATATTGGTATGAGTTTGTGGATAATGCTGGATGAGTTTTAACATGTAGGAATGATGAGTTTGGTAAGTTTTATGATATAGATATTACTAATCCTTTCATTTCTGTCTATCATGTATTTAAAAACACATTAATTTTCTGATGGTTAACTAACGACTGCAACTGATAAACTTGACCAAATAGTCCCACTCTAAATTGAAATCTCGAATCTTGATTCTAAATACACTTTGGGAATTCAGTTGTCATACGCGATATTGTCTATCAAAACTGGAATACAGGCTCTTTCGTCTGACGAATGGTGGTCTAGCATTAAATGACTCATGAATTCAACCATTAAATTACTACAATATCCACAAAACTCCTTTAGTAAACACTTTAAGGTCAAACAACATTTTTATCAGTATTGACTGAATTGTATTACCTAGGAAAGGAGTTCACAAGCAATGATAAAGTATATAATGACAATTTTATTTAATTCACGGTTAACAGAATAACATATATACTAAGATATTGCTTATCAATGAATGCTAATAAAAATTAGCCTTAGAGCAGATAATAAAGGTTTTGTAATTATACAGCTGAACGCGTTATTATGTTGTCATGTTGCACATGTACATGTATAAGATCTGAAAAAAATGTGTACCATCGGAGGACTGTTTTTTTTTATCTTGCACCTTCAGTGAAACGGATATGTTGCATATGTACCGATAATCATGTCCAAATAATACTACGCATTACGTGCACAGAAAGACTGTAATAACCTCGTCAAGCATCAGCATTCCTACAGTTGGACAACATATAGAACTCAAAACAACTGTCAATCAATATCAAAGTCAGAATCTTCAATATGAATGGAACTGAAACTCGGAGAACTACTATAATAAATTGTCTACACAAGATACTCATTGTCCGTTGTTGACCGGATGCCATCAGCAACAGCCAACTATGGCAGGGAACAAACCAACTTCCAGTTGAAGAGGAAATTAGGAGAGGACGTTGGAAGTGAATAGTACATACATTACGGAAATCATCAAAATGCATCACAAGTCAAGCTCTAACTTGGGACCATAGAGGTAAATGAAAAAGAGGAAGACCAAAGAACCCATTGCGTCGAGAATTGGAAGCAGACATGAAAAGAATGAATAGCAACTGGAAAGGATTGTCCAGAACAGATTTGGATGGAGAGTGGTGGTGGGCGGCCTATGATCCTCTGGGATGGGTAACTAGCGTAAGTAAGCAAGAACTCTCTCTGCATGGCGAACCGTATTACCGTGTCACCTAAAAATACGGAACGGACAGATGATACCGTAAAACTAGTTCATTGACAATTGACGTTAAACACAATGACGGCTGAACTGTCATCGAAAATACAGAAAATGTAAATGAAAGGCGAATGACAGTAATTTAACGATGCAATTTGTAACGAATTAAAAAGTAAAAATCGACGAAATGTAACATCAAAGGCAGAGTCCACTCCGACTCACTTAACCTAAGATACAAATATTTCTTTGAAATCGTTAAGCGATTGATGTTAAACCAGCTCTGAACGGGACTCCTTAAGAGCGTGCACCCCCGACCACGCACGCGGCCGCTTAACCTCTACACGACTAAGCTGGCATTCATTGGTATAAACGTCGAATATCAATCAACCCACTCACTTTATTTTACTCACACTTTTGTCTAAAGCGCCTGCGTAACCATTCACAGAAGACAAAGTTAAGCAGAAAACTAAGTTTATTTTAATAACAATTGCGAAAAGAACACCATAAAACAAATGACATTTTTGTAAAACGGCCACACCAGTGCACTATCAGTATCTTTAATCTCGTTACACCGAGCTTCCTGTTGACAGTTTTAGAAAGGAGTTGCAGTCCTGTCTGATAAATATTTCGCCAATCGCGGTGAACTGGCTAATAGATTTTCTCGATGTTTATGGATCTCAGGATACTTGCCAGTTAGAAATTCTTTATCCAGATCAGTCACATGGTCAATGACAGCAATCAGAACTAAGTCGGCTAAAGTCACTTTATCACCAACAGCCAGCTTGCCTGTGGACGCTTTCAGAGATTCGCAGATTATCTAGATAAATGTTGAACAAAAGAATGGACAGTTTAGTTGATAGATAAAAGTCTTTATCACCTAATTTGTCTCATTTAAAAAACTACAGTTTCATTTAAACTGACAGTGGACAATGACATTCATTATCAACCTCAGTTAATATTTTAAAGAAATACCAAAACAAGTGACTCACCACGGAAGTGCCCAACGCTTACTACTTTCTACTGACCTGTTTGTTTGATGAACGTACAATAAGTGCATGACTTTCCTATTCTCCAGATTTTTGTGTGTCTCATCACAAAGCTTATCGAAAATTCGAACTACCGATTCTACCAAGTAACTTATCTTGATTGATACACATTTAATTGTCAGATGTGTAGTATCCGTTCATATGTTGAGCTCACACAGCTTATTCTAGCTTCTGAACAGGTCGATCTATTCATTCTTCTTGAGTCACATCTTCACCTTCTTAATTATTCACTTGTCAACCCCGGCTATTTTTATATCAGCGTATGTGTATGTCTTAACCTACTCACCACATGTCTGTAGCTTATTTTTGTGCGACTATAGATACTAATTAACGCTTGATTAAATCGGGTTGGCACACATGCCTTCTCTACCGCGCATTATTTCGTTTCGCTTCGTTCCTTTGATCGTCTGCCTGGATCAATGATTGTACAAGATAGACGTATTCGAAATCATTTCTCGTATTTGATTTATTTTAATTCTGTTAATCACTGAGGCGAGTTAGCAATAATGATTGGGCCAGCAAGTTCCCCATCAGTCATGTTGAGTTTAAGATCAACCATTAAACAAGATATAGGATGTTGCTCAACACAGCTGATTTATGGAAATACTCTGCGCCTGCTAAGAGTTTTTCACCTCTGGTAACAGTGTTCCAACTGATATAGCCAACTATGTACAACGTCTAAGACAGCATATGAGTAATCTAAGAGTAACGCTTCCAAGGCAACATCAACACCAGATCTACATACCAAAACAACTGAGCTACAGTGCCCATGTGTTTATCAGAAGGGATAATGTGCAGAGTTCCTTATAACCAGCCTACGATGATCCATTCAAAGTTATTAAAACAAATAACAAAACGATTAGGGTAGATAAAACTAGAAAAACGGATGTAATTAGCATCAACCGAGTCAAACCAGCTTTCACCGAAGCTGATGATCAGCCAGTACACATAAATCCTTCGAAAAACGTCGAATCTCCGAAACGTGAATTCCGATCGTCAACGAAGAAAAACGAACAAAATCCAGTAACCACAAAATATGGTCGAAGGGTTAGATTACCTCAACGGTACATAGCTACGAGTTTGAATTAATAATTTCTTTCACTTATTCGGATGTGAATTTATTTATACCTCTTCGTTCTGTATGTGCATACAGAAAATTTTAACTTACCTATTATTATATCCAACATAGTTTGTATATTCAGATGTCAGCGTGTAAAAATCAGTACGGTATTCTTTTGATCTTCCATTATTATCTTATCTGGACTCACGGACGTATACGAATTCAAGTTTAAACGTACTTGTAATAACTCACACGATAGTTCCATCATACATCTTAATTACCTAAGTTTCAATATCTTCCTTCCTGTTAAATTTAATATTTTTTTCGTAAACACAGACACTGTTTTGTATCTTTGTTTGCTGGGGGGAGCTAATTATTATAGAAGCTCACATACATTTGAGTTTTTTCACATTTAATTTAGTTAAGCCCTTTTATTAACTTATTTAACAGACAGTCATTCGTACAACAGCAACAACTTATCTATGTCATTTCAAGTTTGTTATTGTTGCACTTGTACGAACATGTATGCTTGAGCATTGCTTACCGCCTAAGCACATATTTATTCTGTTAGCTTTAGTGTTAATCGCTTAAATGATTCGATCACTTACTCATTTTCCTATGTATATAATGTATATGTACATTTTAATCCTGTTCATTCACTCACTCGCTCAATTGCTCTTCGGTACTCGCATATCATTCTTGCTTCGTGTGCCTGTGGTTTTAGTGATCTGTGTGTGATCAATACTTGGTATTCGTCTTCTGATTCATAGACCGTTGAGCGTTATCTAGTAACGGTTATCAGGACGAGCAGTATACGAAGTTTAAGAATTATATCGAATAATGACCGCCACAGATGCATGTTTGAGATGTACTCAACACACCAACTTCACTCGCTAACATAGCTTACTGAAGATGTGGATATGCTAATTCGTTCTCATAAAAACCAATGTGGATTAAGATAATTCGGAGTGATTGAATATAAGGGGTATAGAAACAGACTGGTAATATCGTAAGTCAGTTGATAACCAAACGAACATGTAAGCTTCGATAATGCAATGAGAAGACGAAGGTTATCAGAATTCTGTGATACATTTACGCAATACATTTCGAACAATCTGATCACACATATACTTGTTAAGACATTTTTATGTGAAGATTATAAGGTCAACTAGACAGATTAAAGGTAAGCCCCTTTATGCATTCAAAAACAATTTATCCTCACCCTTGACCTACCCTGGTAATACTGATTTACTAACCAGACTGGTAATCACATTGTTTTCGTGTACTTTATTATTATTTTTTATCTTTGTTACGAATTACCTCTAATCTGTCTAGTTGACCTTCAAATTTCCATATGAAAATGTCTTAAGTATATGTGTGGTGAGACTGTTCGAAATGTATTGCGCAAATACATCACATAATTCTAATAACCTTCGTCTTCTCATTGCATTAACGAAATTTATCAAAGGGACTATCTTTTTCTGAACATGTAAGCATTAATATTAGCTTTATTCAATAGTGTACTTTTGGCACACAATCAGCTTACACCTATTAAAGCCATGTTGTTGATACAAACATTAATCATACAACAATTAACAGTTTAAACTTACATCGAGAAGAACTGGCACTTTGCCGTTCAGTATCTCTCTGATTATCTGCGCTTTTTCTTCTTCTGGCTTCATCAAAGTTTTGTAATATTCATGTTCTACATCTTCAGCCTATGTATTGTAGACAAAATTAAAAACAGTTAATGAAAATATGAGGTAAATGTATAATATAGTGACGATTTTGGGCGACTCATCATTCAATCAAGAAACGCTGGATAGCTACAAAACAATGAACAGTTAAAACCAATAAAATAACAGTGGAATAACATCCTTGCTCTGAATAAACAACCTTCATATACCCAAATATTATTTGCAGCAAAGGTAGGACGTCACGATTATATATTAGGAATCGAACTAGTGTTTTGACCAAGGGTTATTATCATGTTGAGCTTTCATCACCACATAATATATGTGATTTCATAAAATGTGCTAAATTAAGTATTAAGAGAAATGATAGTTTTGAGTTGGATTTACAAGTTACGATTGTGGTTTACCTTAGGAGCTGTTTATTTATGTATCTGAACACGTAAAAATTGGCACAAGGCGGCACCAAATATATATGCGCCACACAGTTAAAACTGAGGTTGCGAAGAGTTAGAGAATGGAAGGTGAGGATAGTAGCACAGAGCAACAATGAGTAAAAATTAGTGTATGAGAATGAAATAATAATAATATGGGCAGTGCGATGAAAAAATAAATATTAGCAGAATTGTGATATATTTGCGCAATATATTTCGAACAATTTGATCACACATACTTGTTAAGACATATATGAAAAATAAGGTGTCACTTAGATAAATTAAATGGTAAGCGGAAAGAAAGATAATGATGAAGTACCCCAAAACAATGTGATTACCACTATGGATAATAAACCAGTATTACCGGGTTTCCGTTCCCGACTGACTTAATATTAACCTTACGACCTGTCTCAACCAAGTGTCCATCTTGATCTCATTAGAACATCGAGATTCATTTGTTTTTGTAACTATTTAAGTGTGCTCACGATTGATACTCCCTATGTACGTGATTCCACACATACATATAAATTGATAGATGCAATAGGATGTGACACAACCGTTTAGATGCTATTTGGGTTTTTGGTGAAACAAAAAACCTTGACTTTCGATAACGAAAAGTTGGGCTGCATAAAGCGTTCGATTGATAGCTTATTTTAGTTTTCGTTTCAACACGAGACTATTTGAGTCACCGCTAAGTGATAAGGTTATGTAAACTCATTTTTTGTATGTTAAAAACGTCGCAGGACTACCCATAGGCACGTTAATTTATCGATAATATTAATACCACTAGTACCAATGATAATAATAATGGGAGAGACAGTCCAGTGAAAAAAGAACTTGAATTACTTTCACTTTGATGAAGTGAAAGAAAGTTACGGAAGGATCGCCACTGCCTTCTGTTCTGAGCCATGTAAGATAATGTCTTAAACCGTGTTGCGTCATCTCTAGGTCAACAACCTACACGAGTTAACCTGCCTATTTTTACTTCAGACATGTTGACACTTAGGTATGTACTTACATAAAAGGAGAATCCAGTATAGAATGTCACAAAAACAACAAGTATTGTTGAGATGTAAATAAGTAAAATGAAACACGATGAAGTATTTTTGAGTGAAGTGGAGTGGTTTCCAGTGAACACTATTACGATACTGCAGATAAGTAATTTATTTGGTAGGAAAGCTTAGCCTTAGTTACTTTTTTTAATAATTGGGATATTTCAAATTTATCATGATTTTTAGTAATCACAACACATTAGTTACCACTCGCCTATAAATTCCAACTTCATTTATTCAACGCAATAAACTAAACTCACAGGACTCCAGCAGCGTAAAATTCCCCCAATCAATAAAACGCTTAACTCACCTGACCAATCAACTTCTCAATATTATAATATTCCTCGTCTGTTTCTCCCATCATATGATGTTTTTTCGCCAAATACCGTGCAATAGCCAAACTCTCTAACATCCATTTCACTTGCCCATGATTATCGGTGATTTTCACTGCAGGCAATCGCCCGCCCGGAATAGTTGGTTTTATTTCCCGCCAATCTTGGAAACTAATTCTTTCATCTTCGTAGTTCACACCAGCCGCCACAAGAGTCATCCGGATAGATTCAGCACGTCCGCGTCCGTTAAAATAGATAACCTATAGAAACTACAGCTTAGTGTTACACATCACTTTTCGCTTGAAAACAATTACATTATCCAAGTCCTAACCAATTTAGACAAACCATCACATGACAGATAACTGTTCCATTGATTACATATTTCTGGAATATGGGCCGGAACGGTTCACTCTCTAGAACCCTCCAGGTTCTCGCAACAATTTCACAGGCAAACCATGACATTTACTGAAATACTACACCTAACTTTTCTTAAAACAAACAATGGGTGATTACTATGTGACTATAATGATTGTGCATCATATCAGAGCCCAATCTGAACACGTAATTTAGTGGCTTGATGAGGTGAGAAATCACTGCTAATTATGTGTACAGATCTAATTTGCAATCAACTCTGTATTTACCTTCATATCGCAAATAATATTTATCCTACCAAATACTGCAATTGGAACCTCAACAACACTTGAAAATTCACCAGGGAACACAAGTGAACAAAAACAAACTACCTCACCTTGATTTGTTCACAAGTCATTGTACACGTAGACAGAACAACGAAAACTAAGCCTTGACTTAAATAGTTATCCGGTAAATAAATTCACCAATAGTGCAACTACTACATTGCTTAGCTGTAAATATTTCATTTCTATTCGCTGATCCATTGAGTGTCTCATTGGCTGTGAACGAGTGACCAATAAAAATTAAGCATGCAAACCGTTTTCAACGATGGTTCATTTAATATATTTCTGCTTATTTTGTTGATAATATGCTTTAGCAAACGGAATTATCTAAGGTTATCATGTTAGTATAGTATATCCATGATCGAGACATCTGAAAGCAAATAACACTAAGGAACCTGTCAGCTAACCTGATTTCATGAAAAAAGTATGACTTCAATAATCAGCAAACGCGAAAATGTTAAGTATAGCCTAGTTCATAGGACACCATTTATACGAATTATTTATGCTGATTAAGTGATGTTTGTTTCCGAATAATGCCATCATTATATAGCTGTAAGTAGACAGACTTCACTAACTTCTTAACATCCTGCTTAACAATATCATATGCAGCTTTGTGACCTCAGGCAAAGTTCTCAGAGTTATCTGTAAGATTTCTGTTATAACTTGTGGCCTGGGTACCATGTTAATGGATAAGTAATGATACCGCCGATTAGGGAGCAGTGACTTATCGATCGGATCAATGATACATTAACCCGTATTGACAGCCTAGAGTCCTGATTGGTCCTGTTCCGTCCAGCCCAGCCATTTAAGTCCAGAACACCAATATCAGCCTCTTCAATATGAATCATCTATTTCGAACAGCCGGGGTTTATATACCAACCAAACAGACTATTCGTACCAAAAAAATATGAAACAAAATTTGTACAAGAATTAGCCAAATGTGGTTGTGAATGAGGGAGACAGTGTAGTGAACAAAACACCAATGCAGACAATCGAATGTATTTAAAGTCAAATTACATAGCATCTCAATAAAATCTGAGAACCATATATTAAATCGTTAATTTGCAAAATATCAATCAAACTTGACTGTTACTGTTGCAAGCATCAATTCATTGTCTCAGATTTCATTGTTCATGCGTTTTCATACAAATTCCATTGTGTTTCCGCTCTTCCTTTCTTGATCTTCCCCCATCTGCTGCCAGACATTACGTTCCTAACTCGTGTAATATAATACTTGTGTCTACATAAGTAGCACACACCACAATAGTAATTAATAGACAGGCCATAACTCAATATTGATAAATCGTATAATAATAGTTCATAGGTCAAAATAAAACTCATAATAAGAGGGACATGAATATGAACAGTTTACTTACATAACAATTATACGATAAAAATATACGTATATGTGGTGTTTGAATGAACTAATGATTGCTTTGTACTTGTTGAATGCTTGATTTCGAATTCTAAATACAAAACATTCCTTAGTGCTTGTGTAGTACTTCTTGATTCAATTGCGTTATTTCTGGGATTCTTAGTTCATACTATAATTCAATTACTCCTAATTATCATATTGGCGTCGCGATGGAGCCTGCGATGGAACAGTTAGATATTCATTCGGATTTTGATGCTTATGAGGATTAATTTGAAAGGTTCGAAATCTGGGCTATGACCAAGGAAGATGATGAGAATATTAATATTGTGGCACATTTTCTCACATCCATCGGAAAAGAAGCATATAGCTTAATAAAAGTTTTGGCTTTACCGGAAAAGCCCATTTCTCTTCCTTATACAACTCTCAAGGAACTACTTCTAGACTACGCTAAGTATACAAATTTCGAATGCAGTAAAGGGCGATTTCGTAAAATGATTCATGATGATCTAAAAAATTCCACTACATTACGTCACCCTATCCCAGTGCATACTCAAGGTTATGCAGATAATTCATTGAGGAGTTGCAATGCAGTTCACGAAGATGGGCACAAGTTTGGTCAATGTTTGTCCTGTGGCAGGTTCCACTCTTTTATATCATGTAAATTTTATAATTCTAAGTGCTTTAAATGTGGTGGTATTGGACATATTCACTCAGTTTGTAATACTACTGTTTATCTTGCTGCAACTAATATTAAGCCTTGTAATTCTGATTCTATTAAGTTCAGTATTTATAATGACCATTTATCTTTATCAATGATTTCAAAAGACATTTTAGAGTCATACAGCAGTTCAGAGTTTTGTAGTGACCTACTTTTGTCAACAGAACGCGATTGGTTCGATGAAAACAATTATTATTATAACCAATTGTACCAGTGACTGTTTTACTGTGCTCGTTTGTTTAACTGTGCTAATGACAGCCATTATACTTACTCTCCCGTTGACTTCGAACTTGTACGAATCCGGTTACGCTCAGTAACCACGCTTGTACTCCTTTGGCACGATCTCGGTATTCTTTCGATACCACGAGATTGCCAACAAATATATACGACTACTACAATCATCTGCCTTCTGATATTTTGGCCTACCGGGATTTTATTGGTCTATTGGCAAGTAGTCTGGTAGCGGTGTTCATAGTTCAGCTCAACTCGACACCACGCTACATTTGGTGATCCAAATTTTGGAACACGCCTCAACCTCGGTCAAATCTTTCAAAGAAGGCAATTCGGTGAGTCTATTGTTTTATCTATCCACGTCTGTCATATATTTTCATATTAATTTTTAATATATATATTTGACATGACGGATAACGATAAGAATAGTATTAATATAATAGACTCCGATGTACGCGTACCGAATCCTCGGTACTTTTTATTCGCGTGACGATAAATTCCACGCCTTATTCGAGAAATTCCCCAGATTAACTAAACCATTCGAGGAGATTTCATCGGTGACCAATCGTGTGGTACACCACATAGTCACCCGCGGACCACCAGTCACGGCAAGACCACGCCGACTGGCACCGGACAAATTAGCCTTCGCTAAACGTGAGTTTGACAATTTACTATCTGCTGGTATTATTCGTCCTTCTCACAGTCCTTGGGCCTCTCCTTTACACATGGTGCGCAAAAAGGATGGGGTTAGTTGGAGACCTTGCGGCGACTACCGAGCATTAAACGTAGTTACGCGCTTTGATAGCTACCCCATCCCCCACATACACGACATCACGGCATCGCTCAAGGGCACGACTATCTTTTCTAAAATCGATCTGGTACGAGCATATCACCAGATCCCAGTCGCTCTTGAAGACATCGAGAAAACTGCTATCACGACTCCTTTCGGTCTGTTTGAGTTCCTACGAATGCCATTTGGATTACGGAATGCTGCTCAAACTTTTCAAAGGTTTATCGATAGCATAGTACGAGACTTGGATTTTGTTCACGTCTATATTGATGACCTGCTGATCGCATCATCAAACGTAGATGAACATTATCAACACCTTACGCTATTATTCCAACGTCTTTCGGATAATGGAATAGTAGTCAACCCAGAGAAATGCGAATTGGGTAAATCAGAAATAATATTTCTGGGTCACATCATCAAACAAGAGGGTATTCTGCCTTGCGAGGACAAAATTCGAGCAATCAAGGAGTACAACGTGCCGTCCTCAATCAAGGAACTGAAGGCTTTTCTCGGTTTGGTTAACTTCTACCGACGTTTTATCCCTCACGCGGCAGAACGGTTACGACCACTAACCGATTTACTACGCGGTAATCCACGCAAATTAGAACTGAACGATACCGCACGTACTGCATTCTCAGAGATCAAAACGGCTCTCGCTGAAGTTACACTTCTCGCTCATCCTGACCCATCAGCCACGCTTAGTATAGCGGTTGATGCATCAGATTTCGCTATAGGAGCCGTTATGCAACAGAATATCTCCGGTAGTTGGCAACCCCTTGAATTTTTCTCACGACGCCTTACTCCCACGGAGACGAGATATAGCGCTTTTGGTCGCGAGCTGCTTGCAGCCTACTGCGCCATCAAACATTTCCGGCACTCAGTAGAAGGACGTCAATTCATTTTATTCACCGACCATAAGCCCTTAACGTATGCCCTGCATACCAAGTCTGACCGCTACTCACCACGAGAGTGCAGACATTTGGACTATATCTCCCAGTTCACGACAGACCTTCGTCACATTAAAGGCGAGTCGAACTATGTTGCCGATGCTCTATCACGTATCCAGACGAATGCAGTTACTTTACCGGTGCTCGATCTTCCTGCTATGGCCGCCGCGCAAGCAAACGATCCTGTCTGCACAGAAGCACCACAATCTTCGTCCCTTCAGTGTCAGGAAGTACCCCTAGCTACTAGCTCAGGTACTATCCTATGTGATATTTCTACCGGTCTACCTCGACCCATCGTACCCTCTACTTATCGCCGTCTCGTCTTCGATGCCCTTCATGGATTGTCTCATCCAGGTATCGCAGCCACATTACGTCTCATCGCTGCACGATACGTCTGGCCGTCCATGAATAAAGATGTTCGTATGTGGGTAAAGCAATGCTTACAGTGTCAACGATCAAAAGTGCACAGGCACGTAGCTGCCCCCATTGGCACGTTCGCTACGCCTGATGCTCGCTTTGATCACGTTCATATAGACATTGTAGGACCATTGCCACCATCGCATGGGTATGATCACATACTCACGTGCATTGACCGTTTTACAAGATGGCCCGAAGCTATTCCCATCACGTCTATCACGGCGGAGACAGTTGCTCACCGTTTCGTAGAACGATGGATAGCATTGTACGGTTGTCCCTCGACTGTCACGACTGACCGAGGACAACAATTTGAGTCCGCATTATTCTCCTCACTGACCCGGCTGCTTGGTACGGAACGCATACGCACTACCGCCTACCATCCAGCATCGAATGGTTTAGTCGAACGGTTTCATCGCCAACTTAAAAGTGCTCTTCGAGCACACGAAAACGACAATTGGTACGAAACCTTACCGCTCGTTCTCTTAGGCATCAGAACGAGTTTGAAGGCAGATATTCAATGTTCCGCCGCTGAACTTGTATACGGCACGACATTGCGTCTGCCTGGGGAATTCTTCACACCACGGAGCAGTAATGAT